AAATATCACCACGTGCATTATTCTCATCAGATGTCTTGTCATGTTACCGCTCAGTAGTTTTTCATCCCACTGATCAAGTGGTCTTACCTGGAGTCCTTAGGCATGCCTATGATTTCAACGGAGATCTGAAACCCCTTTTTCCAAAAAGCAGCTGCCGTTTCACTGTTTGTTCGATATCAGGAGACAAGACCAGGATGTTAACTGATTGCCCACGCAATGCTAAATGCATTGTTATGTGGAGTCTGAAGAATGGTTCAGAGATTATTCGTATCACCAGAGATGAAGATGTTTTGACTTTCGCATGGTCGCGAGAAGGAGTGCTGCTGGCAATTTCTCATTCCTCGGGTCGTATTGTTATCGCTGATGTGGTGGATGGTTTTAGAACACTAGGACAAACCCATCTCCGAAACGTTTGCGGCATGATTAAGTTGTCGCCTGATAGTCGATCTCTTTTATGTTATCATTTATCATCGCTTGGCGTTCACTGTGGCTTCCGTTTGAATATCAATATCGCCGAAGAACTCAACTGTCGGGTGGATGTCCTTAAAGAGCCCTATGTAGCCTGGAAATTTGAATCACGTAGCGAGGGTGGATTTTTGTTAGGAGATCCTTTATCGTGTGTATTTGGAAAAGGGCGTGTCCTACTCGTCTCAAGTCTGAAGTTTTATTTTGTGCTTGATAAGCTTACTGTATTGAGGAGTGATGGTGATCGCGTAGAAATGTTGAATATTAATGAACGACACGAAAACGAGGAAGAAGCTGCACATGCCAACATGGAGCAAATTGTTTTTTCCTTGAGTGGTGAGACCATTTACGTTGTCAGTAGTCATGATGTGATGGCTTGGAATGTTTCAAGTAGTGAGCTGATTGTAGAGAAGGAATTTGACAGTCTTCATGCAATTTTATGGTCATCATGTAATTGTTTTTTAGCTGTGGAAGGTGGTGTTTTAGTACATCTAATCGGAGGAATGGATACTCTGCAAATGTGGAATTTTGAATTGTCCAAGTGCATCCGACGTTGGACCAACATAGGCAGTGTAACAGACGTGATTCCTGTGTCTGAAGAAAGAGTGGCGTGTGCCACGAAAGAGACTGTGATCATCCTTGATACTACCAGCGGAGAGATCTTGTTGACTATGCAGATTGATCGCACCACAGATTTGCTTGCATGCAACAGCAAGTTTCAAATTTTAACCAAGAATGAGGATGGTTTGGTTCGTTTGTCGGATCGCGAAGCCACGCTCTGGGGAAAGCAATTGCAATTTACCAAATTTGGAAGGTTTTCTCCCGCGGAAACGTTTGTCATTATTTGCCCTTATGTGCTTCTTAAAGCTGCAGTATACGTCCTTGATGCAGTTTCAGGAAAAACACTTCACGTTTTAAGTAGTGGAAGTGGTCTGCGGTCATTCTTTGCTTGTGAATTTGTCAGTGACGAGGAGTGTGTTGTTATCTCTGAGGCTCCCTCAGAACAGTGTCTTGTTCAGCTGTTTAACGTCAAGTCAGGTGACCTACTGAGTAACCTCCCGTTGGGTAATCTGCGGCTGAGTAACCAGCTGGAACCAACGAATTGCTTAGCAGCCTCGCCATGTAAGCGTCTCATCGCCATTTATCCAAGTGGCTCTAAACACAGATACGAACTTATCCAGGTTCGATTGCCTGGAGATGAAGACAGCAAGAAGAGCAAAAGGTAAGCTATTAACGATATAAATGGGAATATCACGAGATAAGTGTTAGTCATAGTAGCGCTTTATAAAAAAAAAATGGAAAAATGAGAAAGCACACAAGAACGGTTTAAAACAGTGAAATACTTTATTTTGATTGTCACCCATTACATTAACCAGAATGATACGATAGTGGTTTACGTCAAGCTCTCCAGCTGATATCAAGGTAGAATGTTGAGAGTAAGTTTGGGATCGCTCGGTGTAAAGGAAACCATTGTTGATTATCTGTTGTGTTTGAGTATTGCTTACTGTCTTTTGAATCTTTTTTTTCTTTGCTTCGTTTCCTGTAAGCCATCCCCCTCGCGTAGAAAAACGAACCTAAATAAATATGTATGAAAGTTTGAAGAGCGGAAGTGTTTAAAAATTCACGACAATGCAACCGAGTGTATTTCCTTGTTACTGTTTTTCTTTCCGCGTAGTTCAGCCCTATTTAATTGCCAACTACAATTCTAATTGTTATTTATCACTGATTCTTGAGAAGGTTTATTCTATCGTATTACCAAATCTGTCCACGTTTTTTGATAACTAATATCCTATAGAAAAGGTAATGGGATATCGGATCTTAATTAGCATAGAATTTTANTCACTGATTCTTGAGAAGGTTTATTCTATCGTATTACCAAATCTGTCCACGTTTTTTGATAACTAATATCCTATAGAAAAGGTAATGGGATATCGGATCTTAATTAGCATAGAATTTTACCATTTCGTTTTTCAGTTTTCTCTTTGTTAGCCTATATCAGAAGTGTGAGAATCGAATAGACAGCTGAAATTCAATAATTTTATGAGCCTCGTTTTTTTTTTTTTATAAACTTTCTTCTGGTATTTGGGAATGTCATGGAACACTGTGTTTCGTTTTTAATATATTACACAATAATGCTCAAGACCTTTTGTCATCTTTTTGCAGGACTCTTAACCCTGGAAAACACGTAAAAGTACAAGTAGGAAAACAAGAGGTTAGCCATTGTCAAACGAACTTTAACTTTCCGGTAACCAACCTGAAGTTGAAGAGCCAGTCGTCTCTATTGTTCGCGTTCTTTTTGTGGATTTGCTGTGAAAAACTAAACTAGCCTAATGACAAGAAAAACATCGAACATGCTTTCGTTCTGATCAAACAAATGTTAATTTTATAGTGTGCAACCTGTCGAGGGATATACTCGCGAAACTTGTTGTTTTTACGAAGCCAAGGAGCAAACGCGTTTCAGCTATGTCACATCGTTACAACCTACTATATTCAGCGTAAACGTACAATATTCAGTTAAAAAAATGTTCCGTCTCTCTCTCTCAAATGGAAGAATGAAGATGCAACATTAAAAACACCTTTTACGCTTTGCATAGCGATAAAGACTGTTGAGCACAACAGCTCTTTCATCACTATGCGCCCAGAATTAATAATGGTAATTGAACTGAGTGAAGTGCAATTTGGTCTGAAATCATAAGCGTGATTTCAAAATCCAACGAGCGCGTATTTAAAAAAATTGCACTATTTTATCGCCCTAAATTTTAGATTTTGGTGTATTGTTCCGGTAGCCGATTTGTTAAACATAGCGGAACTGGAAACGCCCTTACATCTCATTTAGCATGCAAAACGATGTCACGTGGCGAAAACTCATTCAAGCATAACAAAGGAACAAGCAGATCTGAAGTCGGAACGAAAACAGTCTACTTCATGCATAAAAGTTCAATTCTCGTCGCCTGATTGAATGATGGAAGGCCTTCCTATCTTCTGTGGTTGAGACTGAGATTTCTCGTTGTCTTTGGAGAGGGAATTTGAAGGTGCAGCTAGCGTAATTCTGCGATTGATTTCTTTTGGGTTGTGAAACTCCATCTTGTGCACGATGCCCAGTGGATATAGGTTTTCTCTTTCAAATACCGCTCAATGGCACTCTCCATGATTTTAAGGGATTCCAACTCCTTATCATCTCCGTTTCTTTTTGTGACCTCGGCGTAGAAATTTATACTCAGGACCTTGCCAAGTTCTTGCGGCGCCATTTGTTTTAAGTATTTTCAAGATGGCGAGACAAGCGCTAGCTTCAGAAGACGTTTGTTCATTCACTGTTTTGTGGGGCAGGGCGTATTTTGACTATGTTTATTCATAGCGACAGAGCTCTTTTATTGCTTCGTTTTAATCTACCGGAAACCTGGAGACATCTCCCTTCCTGAGATTGCTCTGAATTTGTTGTTGTTTGGTTTTCCTTTGTCCATGTTTTACTGGACTCAGTATCCAACGGATCTTGAGTAGATGTTAAAGAAAAATCGCCAAAATATTCGTCAGAATGGACATTGAAAGTTGGAAACTTCCCTTAAAGTAGGTCTAACCCGAAGAAGCGCATGGTCGTCTTTTAGAAACTGTCATTAATTGACTTTGTCAATTGTTTTGAAAAAAAAGAAAAAACCAACAACAAAGTTTTGTCAATAATAGTTGTAAAATTCGCCACACAATGACTTTTTGTCTTTGATTTTCCTGAAATTTTATTGGTTACTTTAAACTAATCTTGAAATCTGATCAGCTGTTTTGTTTTACTGTCCCATTTTCATTGGCTGAGAAAAAAGATGCGATTTAGAGCAGACAATAGTGCGATTCGAGAATAAATCGAACCGCTGAGAGCCAATCAGATTGTAAGAATAGCCAGTGATTTTAAAATGGATTTAATAAAAGAGACGATGGCCTGCAGAACGGTTGGATTAGCTGTAAACAAGTCATGCGCGTAACGCGAGAACAGCCTCTAAGCACAAGGCGAAATAAGTCAACTGTTGTTTTTTCGTCTCGCGCTTCGTGCGTGCCGTTATATATCGCGCTTCGGCTCCGCTAATTCGAGCTTCTGAAGGCTATCGTGTTGTATGTTTTTGGGTAAAACCCTTGACTCTTACAGTTCCTCTCTCTACGCAGATGTATATAAAGAAAATGGGTACCGGTAAATTGAACGTTGAGAATATCCCTCCGATGGACTTCATTTCGTTCAGGGTACAGTAGAAATACTCTTAGTCGCTTCATGCACGGAAAACGGAGATTAGCGCCAGCGTGATTGGCCACTAAGCTCGAACGCGGACTTTTGCTCGAAATTTAATACGAGTGGATATTGCTGAGAAAGTGGTGACCGGCTAGGCAATTATATTTGCTTTTCGTGCCTTCCAAATTTCCGGACCCATATTAGTTGACCCTTTTCGAACGACGATGACTTTCCTTTAAGAATGAAAACCTAACGAGATATGCATGTTTTCAAAATTCAGCTAAAAAGCCACCTTGGGCATGTGTAAGTGCTGCATACGCTGGCTGTGACTGTTGTCCAAGTAACTTGTGAGATCGCGGTTAGGATCTCATTTACGAGAATTTGTATGAAGTAGATTTCTTTCTGTTTCTAGTCGCTTACATTCAATGTATGCGGAGTATTGTAATTTAATTTTAGAATTTTACTCTTGTGTTGATAAAGTTCATCTGCAACTCGGCACTATATTGGGTTGACTTCTTGATCTCGGTCAATATTCCTCTGTTGTCAGTTACTCACGTGACGGGTATCCTAAAAGCTTTTTTAAAGGAGCACAGTCACGGTATTTTGAGTTATTTTGGCCTCGTCAACAAAATTACCTTTAAATTGAAGGAAACCTGAAAATAATAATTTACTAAGATAGAAAAACACTAAAGAGA